TTTCTTTTCCCTTTTTATTTTCCTTTCCCTTCCCTTCCTTTCCTTTCATCTTCCTTTCCATTTTTATCTTCCTTTCCTTTCCTTTCCTTTCCTTTCTTTTCCTTTCTTTCCACTTTTTATTTTCCTTTCCCTTCCCTTCCTTCCATCTTCCTTTCCTTTTTTATTTTCCTTTCCTTTCTTTTCCTTTATCTTCCTTTCTTTCCACTTTTTATTTTCCTTTCCTTTCCTTTCCTTTCCTTTCCTTTCCTTTCCTTTCCTTCCCTTCCCCTTCCCTTCCTTTCATCTTCCTTTCCCTTTTTATTTGCCTTTCCTTTCTTTTCCTTTATCTTCCTTTCCTTTCTTTTCCTTTATCTTCCTTTCTTTTCCCTTTTTATTTTCCTTTCACCTTCCTTTCCCTTTTTATCTTCCTTTCCTTTCATCTTCCTTTTCTTTCCCTTTTTATCTTCCTTTCCTTTCCTTTCCTTTCCTTTCCTTTCCTTTCCTTTCCTTTCCTTAATTTACATGCTGCCCATCTTGCTAACAAGGCTATTTATGAACATTATAAAAAAAGAGATGCCAAACGTATTAAAACATTACATAAACCAGAATTAAGTAAACTTTGTAATGTTCCTGGAGTGTCCTCTTTCTAAACGGGGTCACCAGAAGCTCACAAGTGGTGTGTTTTAGAATACAGAATAACTCAATAACAGAACAACAGAATAACATAATAAATGACAGAGTTGGTAGGGACCCTGGAGGTCTTCTAGTCCAGCCCCCTGCTCTAACAGGAGGCCTTATATCATGTCAGACAAAGAGATGTCCACTGTCTTCTTAAAATTCCAGAGACCCCCCCATCCCAAAAGGGATTGGGTTCATTGGGCCAAGGGGGCTGGATGGACTGATGTTGCAGGAGAGAAGAGACATCCCACCCCCGCAATTTTTAAGGTTCCCCTTTGAAGGGCTGGGAGCAGGCAGGGAATCCTGTTCAAATTAAGCCAAGTGAGAAAAAGAAGAGAGATCACCCACCCTAGTCCTACAATTTTTGCAATTTTTCCCTTCCCTGCTTTGCTCTGGATTTCCTGGAATGCTATAGCAGGATTAAAAAAAAAGAAGGGAAAAGGTCTTCAGAAGTCCAGCATGATTTTTGAAGGGCTCCATAGACACGTCCACCAAGTTTCCTTGGCAACTTCCTGGAAGGAGTTTCCCACGGATGGTTTTTTTTGATGGGGCAAATTTAGTCTTGGGTCTCAGACCCCCTGCCCTAAATATTAATTACGACCTGTCCCTGCTTAGCATCATCCAGTTCAGTGATTGTCAACCTTGGA